AGCTGATCAAATATTTATGATTAATTTATGAGACTAAATTGCAAATGAATTGATTAGTACTTAAGATTTCGTTTAATTTGTGCACGACATGACAATGAATGCTATATTAGATCATGTTTAATTTTTGTTTTATCACAAATCATTTTTATTTATTTATTTATACACTCAAACATATATATATATATTGTGTTAAAAAATATCATGTTATAATTGCAAAGTTAAAATTATCATGTATATAGTTTTAATATATTCAAGCATCAATACTTATAAAAATAACCTTATTATATTCAACATTTAATTTTCAGAAAATATCAAACAACTTATCAACAATATATTCAATATTTAATTATTCAACACTTAAAATTTAGTATTTAATAAATTCAATATTTAATTTTTATTTTTATCAAGCATTGTAAACCAGCTACTAAAAGGTTTTGTTGCAAACCAGAACGATTTGTGCAATAAATTTACAAGACAAGAGGGAATTATGGGCACATCCATTCATATCCACTGCTACTTATGGTTATCCACAAAATGAATGAACCTGCATATACCTATTTTTATGTTTTTTCACATCAAACTTCAAAGATTTCAACTCAATAATTCAGTTACGTACGGTATGGAAATAAATAAATACACAAACTTTGTAGCATGCATGGGTACCACCACAAACTTTGAAAATTCTTATAAAACCACGTTCTTGCTTTCCTATTGATCAGATATCTCTTTCCTCTCTTTATTTCCCTTTTTCCTTTTTTTTTTTTCTTCTTAAGGAAAGTTAAGTGCACCAATATAAGGACTTTAAAAATTCTTATCAAACCATCTGATGCTGTTCTAAATTATTTCTCTCTTTTAATTTCTGCTGTTCTAAATTATTTCTCTCTTTTAATTTCTGTACTATAAAACTTTAAATTTGAGGATTGAAATTTATACTATAAAATTCAGAGATATACATGATGAGATTGTTAAGTAATATAATAGTCTGTGTACGTTAAATTCTTGATATTTACATGATGAGATTGTTAAGTAACCTGAGACGCTTACTGTATAGTTCGAGGTGGTTCAACAGGCCGTCCGATGAAGAAAAGGAAAACAAGCTGGATAGTTAAGGCATTAAGTGGGCCAAAATTGAAAGGAAAACTAAGGGGCCAAATCAATGAAATGATGGGCTCAAGCAAACTCTAATCTTAGTGGCCATAAAATATTTTACTTCAAAATTTTGGCATCTAGTAAAATCCCTATAAAAATGAATACTTTTCATTTAATAAAAGGTGTTTCTAATTTTATATTAAAGGTATTTTTATTTATAAGAAAAAATAAAAAGAATGTTGATTTTTGTTAGTGAAGACCATGAAATGAAAGAAATAATTGATTTTCTTTATCAATTATAAGTATTTTTTAAAAAATACATTATTTAAAGTTTTGACCACACAAGTATTTTGAGAAAGATATAAATAAAAAGAAAAATAATTTTTTTTTTTAAAAAAAGAAGGAGTATCAATTAAGAGTATTTAAAGAAGGTACAATCTCTTTGGGATCGATATAAATAGAAAAATATCATTGATTTAATATCTATAATCAATGCTGTTTATTTTTATTCTACTATTATATTTACATATATATTTTTTACAATCCTACATTAAATAAAGTACAATAAATGCAATCTTTAGTGAAATTTCAAAAACTCATTTACATGATGTATGGTTCAAACCCTATATATAGAGAGACAATGAGTGTGCATGAAAACATAAGGAAAACACAAAGAATTACAAATACATAATCACAAAGAGAAAAATGGTGGCTTCAAGAGCAGATAAAATAGCTATTTTGATCCTCTTCTGCTCAGTGATTGTGATGAGTGTGGAAATTGAAGGTGCAAGAGATATTCCCGAAACAACTAGAGTTACTACTAGTCATGGAACTCCTTTTAGAATGCATGGATTCACTATATGCTGTAATTCATTTGTTCCTTACTGTTGTAAAAATGGTGATCAACGAAACACCAAGTCTCGTGGACTTGACAGTGCTTCGATAAATTGATGTTACTCGTCGAGCAACTTGTAGAAATAATGCTCATTATCTATGAGCACAATAAATGCATTCTGTATTTGCTCCCTTTGATGTTAATTTTCTGTTCTATCAACTAAATAATTTTTTTTTTCAAACAATTTTTCTTTTCCTTTTCATTTGGAGTTCTTCTCCAACATTGGTTTATGCTATATGGAAGCACACGTGACCTGTTGTCTTGTGCCCTAAAAATGGATGAGTAAAATCACATATGGGCTATTGGAATTATCACAAATTCCATAGAATTTTATCAATATAAAGGACAACCCATGATGCACAGGCTTTTAAGCCCATTATAGAGAAGTGGTATCCATTTTAGAAAAGGATGAAACCAATGGTGTAAAGGCTTTTTTAAGCCCATCAAACGAAAGACTTAACCCAACCTTAGATAGCAAAGGCCCAACCCACAAATTCTCACCGTACCATATTATATGATTCGAATTCTGATATCGTGCTTCCGATTTTTTTTTTTTTTCTGTCAGTTTGTGCATTTTTCTTCATTTCAAAAACAAGAGGCAAGAATTAATTTATTATGAAAAAAAAAAAACAGGCACAAGATTTAGTACCATTCTCAAAAACAATGAAGTCAATTCTTTTTAAAACTAATGTTGCAATTTATGGAGATTGACGTGGATGAATACTCACGAGTGTAAAATGCTATGCAAATTTAATACGGTGGTCTCCTTTTATAAGAACATTATTTGTATTTGTAACTACTATTTGACAAAGCTTATTAAAAAATTATAATGCGGTCGTGAAGTAGACACCGTTATCGAATCATATAAAATCTTTCCGTTGTGTGATTATGCTTGTATTTCTATTATGTTTTTTTACTTGATTCGTTTCTTAACAATTCTTCGAAAATAGAATTTAGTAATAAATTATTTAACCAATAATAATTTTCATAGAAATAATAATCATATAACTTGATTATAGTACAATTCTTTAACCAAGAATTGCACTTTCTTAACAATTCTTCGAAAATAGAATTTAGTTTTTATAGTTCTATTTTGTATGTCAAAAATCTGTAATTTAGTCGGCTATCAGCGGGCTCTCTTCTTCTCTTCTTCTTAATCTAATCTCGACTTTCGGTAAAAAAATAAAAATAAATAAAAATTACAAGGAAAAGATAGCAAAGAGGAAATATTTATTCACCTTTTCATCTGTTTCATTGAGAAAATTGAAGGTAGTTGATCTCTGACTGCAGAACGCAAATTATTTGATTTATCGAATATAGCGTTAATAATAAGAAAAGATAAACATTAAATATACGATCAAACTATTGAAATAATATCAAATTTATACTCAATTTTTTTTATATATAAAAAAACGTCATGACTGACAAGCATTATTTGCAATTTCTATAGGTTTTCTAGTACCTAGAACTTCAAAGCAACAATTTATCTTAAAATATATTAACATTGTTTTTATTTTATTCTTATTGATAAATTTGAAATATTAAATCAACATTTCATTAAATATATATTAAAAAAATCATTTTTATATTTATATAAGCTCAATTTGTACATAAAAAATAATCAACAGTTGTTAAGAACCCGTTTGATTGAGGTTTATTCATTTTCTCAAATTTTAGGGTCAGCACTCAAATTATTGTATTGAATTCTTTTAAGTGCAACCCGTTTGATTGAAGGAGAGATGCACCCTTAAGAATAACTAATGAAAATGAATTTGAAATAGCTGTTAAGAACCCTGCTATCTTTGCTCAAGTGACCAAACCTTATTGCACATTTCTTTGAAAAACAATATAAAATTATTTTTAAATTCTCATCAAACAATTCAAAACTTTTTATTAAGATATTTTTTAATATAATATAAAAGTCTTGATGATTAGATTATTACGAATTCGAATTTTTCTATTTTTTAATTAAAGTTAATTAATTAAACATAAAATAATGATAAATCTGTATAAATTTTAAATTTAAAAACAAAAATCATAATTTAAAATATGTTAAAAAGTAATATAAGTAGCATAAAAACTAGTCCATGCAGCGCAGGTTGTTATGCAAAGCATAGATCGGAAATTATAAATGGCATTCCGCAATTTTCAGGGGTTCTTTCTGCCATTTGGCATAATATTTGGATACGTTAGAATTTCTTTTTTCCCCCATCAGGTTTGGGAATTCTATACCAATAAAAAAAATATAATTTTTTATATTTAAATTAACATTTGATAGTTAATATCTAATGAAAAATAAATATTAAGTCTATATAAATGTGGAATTTTACCTATCATGCAAAGTTAAATATAAATATCTAAATATAAATTCAATAATAATTTAATTTAAAATATTTTTTTCAATATATATATATATATATATATGATGAAAGACATGCAAAAACAATATATAAAAATATATTTAATCGGATTTGGGTTTCCCAAGAGATGATAATTTTGCTATCTCTTACATCATTGAAAATAGGCATTCCTTTCAACATGATATTATCTTTACCAAAAAAGGAAAAAAAAAAACAGTTACTGAAAAAAACTAATAATAATAAATGGAGATATAGACTTAAAATCGAAAGTTTCTCAAAATAATTATATATCACCGCAACAAAATCTTACCAAATCTTTTTCAAAATAATTAATGGAAATATAAATCTATTGTAAAGGAAAACTACATAAAATCATAGATTGAGATCCTCTCATGTTTCCTTACGAGTATGACCATTAAATTTAAACAATTGAATTCAAATTAAATGGTCATAATTTAGTATGTGATAAAAACAGAAACAACTAAACATTTTAAAGTTCATTTAATCTTATTGGATTCGTTGAATCCGATTTATGGTTTTATGCTATTTTTATTTCATTGTTTGTAGAGGAAAACCCTATATATAGAGAGACAGTGAGCATGCATGAAATCCAAAGAAAACGAAAGAACACAAAGCGTATAATTCCAAACAGAAAGATGGTGGCTTTGAGAGCAGATAGGTTGACAATTTTGATCCTCCTTTTCTTGGTGATTATGGTGAGTGTGGAAATTGGCAGTGCAAGGAATGTTCCTGAAACAACTAGTGTTATTGGTGATGGAACCGCTTTTGAAGGGCTTAAGATTAAGAAATGTTGTAATGAATATATTCAACTTTGTTGTAGTAGTGCAGATTCTGCTGCTCAACATGATACCAAGTCTTCTCATGAGCTTGAGAGTGCTACAAAAGGTTGATGTTGCTTATCAAGGAACTTGTAGAAATAACCAAATAATGCTCCTCATCCATGTATGAGCACGCCAGCAATTAGCTGTTTGCCGTTTTGGTGTCAAAATAAATAATTTATCTAGTTTTAAGAGATGCACACCGTCTGATGTTCTTCTGAATGATTTCTCTCTTTTAAATTTAACTGTGTTTTGATTATACCAAAACAACTTTCAAATCTGAGGATAGAAAACAAATCCATGCCAATTCACGAATTCCTTCATTGCAGCCTCTAAGAAGTACTGTGAAATCTTGCCAAAAACAAAGCCATGAAAAACGAAAAAAGAACGACTTCGATAGAAATTTTCCTTAGTTTTGTCCCATCTTACTATGATCAAAAGGCTTGTATTCTTCATTTTTCACCTCATGTTTCTTGGTCAGATTCATTAATTTCCTATCAAAAGATGATCACCTCCATGCATCCAATAGTTTCGAGAATGTGATGTGCAAATAGAGAAATATGAAAAGGATGTATATTTTTATTTTCATTTAAAAGAATCAAAATACATAAAATACAAAAAAAAAAAAAAAAAATAGCGGCGGGGCGGGGGGGGGGGGGGGAGGGGGTGTTGGGGGTCATGATTGAATAAACTCAAAACTGAAATTAAAACAATTTAGGATACAATCAAAAGAATTGAAAACCCTAGGATTGAAATTACAAGATATAGGGATCCAATTGAAAAAATTGAAAGAATTAGAGACCAAATTACATAACTAAAGGATATAATCGCGAACAATTGAAACAAACAGGGACTAAATTGAAATTAGGAAGCAAAAGACATGATCAACTTCGAGCGAACAACTTGTTGTTCCCCGTAACCCAAAATCAATTCACTAGTCTTGATTCAACGTCTTCCTTGGAGAGAAATTTCTCCCATTTGTTTCATTTGATTCTATGAATCTTGGTTGGCAATTATACCGGTTAGGAATCACGCTTTAACAATTTGTAAAGCAATTGCATAAGACTTGCACCATATTTGCACTAAACCAAGCATACACATTGCACAATTCTCATTTTGGCTCTGTAACAAACATACGAAATGCGAAGCTTAGGAGTTTTGATGTCTAATGAGAATGGTTTTGATCAATTAAGGAGATGATCCTAAGGTTGAGGAGAGTTTGGTTTTAGGTAAAAATAGGAGACAAATCTTTAGTTTAAAGGAAGGGGAAAAGAAAAATTTTAGAGGGTATTGTGCTTTGGGGATTAGATAGAGGAAGAGAGATGATTTAAAGGATTTTGGAAAGGAACAGAGTTAGGGTTCCCGGTAGGTTTGGAGGTAGAGAGGGACTTTGGGTTTGATTTTGTTTTGTGTTCATAGAACAAATTCTATATATATATATATATATAATGAAAGAAAGATTTAGAAAGAATTTTAAGAGTATTGAGTTTCTAGGATTAGAAGTAAGACTTTCTAGGTTTGTTTTTTTTTTAAAAAAAAAAAAAGAGAGAGAGAGGAATTAAGGTTTTTGGGTTTTGGACGGAAGAGAGTTTTCCGGATTTTGTGGGTTTCAAAAATTTTTTGGGTTTCGACAAGAAGAACTCCTAAACTCGCAAGTTTGATTTTGGTTTCTTGGAGGAGCAATTCTCACCGATCAAAGTAAATGGCAATCTACTACAAATCATTCACCTTCAAGCTAGGCTTCATCAATCAAACACCCAAGAACGATTCTCACCAATCAAAGCAAAGGGCAATCTATTACAAACCGTTCACCTTCAAGCTAGGCTCCATCAATCGAACACCCACATATGATTCCATATTTCCTTCATTGATTTGCATCGCTAATCGCCTTGATTTAGATGTAAATTTGTTCAAAAATGAATGCTGATTGTCATCATACAACCACCCATTGCTATATTTCTCTTTGCCCACTCACCCAAAAAAAGTGCCCAATACCCCTATTTTTACCCTTTTTTTCTAAATCAACTTTGAATTTCTTTTATGAATGCATGTTGTTTATTTTATGCTTAATTTAGATTTAATATTTTGAATTTCTTCAAATTGTTCAATCAATGCTTAATTTTATGATTTATTTCGATAATCAAGTTAAGTAATTAATAGGTGGACGAATCGTCGAGTCTTTTAATTTTTAGAGACTAATAAAGATTCTCCACCAATTAAAAAAAACAATGAACAAAAAGAAAAAAAAAAAAGAAGAAGAAGAAGAAATGCTTGGAAAAAGATGACAAAAATAAATGCTAGGAAAAATCAAAAAAAAAAAAAAAGGAAAAAGAACTGCCACTAAAAAAGGGAAAAAGAAGAAGAAGAAATGCCATGAAAAAAAAAAAAGAGAAAAAAGAAAATTCTAGGAAAAAGAAGAAAAGAAAAAGAAATGCTAGAAAAAATGACTAAAAAGAAATATATCTAAAACATGATAAAAAAAAAGAGAGAGGAAAAGGCAAAAATATAAAAAACACTAGGTGAAAAATTAGCAGTCTCTTATATAATAAGAATCGATGTTATCCTAAATCAATCATATTTTAGTAATTAGATTGTTTTACGGCATACCGATTGTATCGAGACTTAAAATAGATCCGATATTGAATTAATGAGACGTTCGATAGAGGGGTTCGACGATTGGTTCTACATGGTGCAACAAATTAAAAAGAAAAAAAAAACTTAGTTTGACATAGAAAATAAAACTTGAAATTTTGAATAGGAATAATCTTGGTGAAAATAGAAATTTTTAGGAGGTAAACCTTTAGACTAAAATAGATGTGGTACCTTTCTTAGAAAAAGGTGCTTTTAGGTGATTGATATCTTTCCAAAGGCATAACCAATTTCTTATCCGCGAATCTTTGAATGAGTGCCCATTTTAAGTTTCAAATTCTTTTTGTTGAATATAGGAGAATGCATGCTACTATGCACGTATGTTTTTAGTTAAAAGGCTTATATTTGTTGTGTTATAGAAGCTATATTTATATAGGTAAGCTAAAGATAAGATAACTATTAACATGAGTATTAACTAAATATTAAATACAAGATTAGAATGAGAATGGATAAGCGATACTTATCCTAACAACCCCCTTAAGCCCTCGGGTGGGAGACAATAGCTGTAACTTGTCCCTAAGAAACCGAAACCGATGAATAGCAAGCGGCATGGTCATTATGTTATTTGGTAATAACTGGAAGTAAAACCAAATTGAATTACTCCTCAACAATCGATTCATGCATAAAATGATAGTCTAGCTCAATATGTTTGGTGTGGGCATAGAAAACTGGATTGGATGAAAGATATAGAGCTCCAATATTGTCACACCACAATTTTGTTGGTTGGGAAGACGAGATGCTAAGCTTAGTTAAGAGGGAACAAATTCAAACTATCTTTGTAGCAGTTGTTGGCTAATGCTTTATACTCACTTTCAGTGGAACACCTAGCTATGGTAGGTTGTTTATTAGCTATCCATGAGATGAGATTCTTCTCAAGATAGATTGCATAGCTATTTATACATTGGCGATCATTAGGGTCGTTAACCCGATCCACTGTCCGAGTAGCAATGTAAGTGCATAGGTGAGTCCTTGGCAAGGAGAAGGCCATTTGTTGGAGTAGCCTATAAGTAACGAAGAATATGTTTTAAAGCTATCTAATGAGCATCGGTTGGAGAGTGCATAAACCGGTAAAGTTTATTAACAATGCAGGAGAGATTGGGTCCGGCCATTGTTAGGTATTGGAGTCCACCAACAAGTCGCCTATATGCTTCCCCACTTGACGGTGTCGGCACCCTATAAGTAGCGAGGAATACGTTTTAAGGCTTTCGATGAGCATCAATTGGAGAGTGTATAAATTGGCAAAGTTTATTGACGAGTGCGGGAGAGATTGAGCTTGGTCATTTTCGGGTATTGGAGTCCACCAACAAGATGCCTATATGTTTCCCCATTTGACAATGTAGTACCTCGAAGTTTAAATAGAGGTGGAGTTATAGCTATAAGCATCGGACACCCTTTTAAAGCATCCATTCTAGATTTACAAAGAAGGTCCGTAATATATTTCTATTGTGATAGAAGTATGCTACTAGACAAAGGAAACACCTCAATTCCTAAGAAGTAGTGAAGGGGTCCTAGGTCTTTGATTGGAAATTCAAGTCGGAGTTTGTTAATGAACTCTTTAACTAAAGTGGAGCTTGAACTTGTGACAATCAAATTATCAACATATACAAAAATAAAGATATTATTAGTCCTATAATGAAGGTGAACAAAGATGTATCGGCCTTTGATGTATGAAAGCCATTGCTTAAGAGAAAGGAACTGGGCGATTGAAGCGAGGCTTGTGGAGCTTGTTTCAAGCCATAAAGGGGCTTGTTTAGGCGACACAAATAATCATGATGATCTTTATCAATATGTCCCTATGGCTAATCCAAGAAGTCTTCCTCGTCAAGGATATTATGGAGAAACACATTGGATATGTCCAACTGCCGCAAGGACCAATCATTTCTAATAGCAAGAGAAATGATAGTTCGATGGTGGTTGCCTTCACAATGGGACTGAATGTCTCAGTGTAATCAACATTGAACTACTGATTGTATCCTTTAACCAACAAGCCTTGCCTTGTAATGTGAGATCCCACCACTAGGGTGTTGTTTAAAGCTAAAAACCCATTTATTCTCCGTTATATTTTTGTTGAGAGGATGTGGAACCAAAGACCAAGTGTTCTTATTGAGTAAGACAGTACATTCATCACTCATGGCTTGTCTCCATTCCACATAAGTCTGGGCTTGGGAATATGAGGTAGGTTCGGTGTGTAAATAGTCACATGAGTTAATGGTGAGAGATATAATATGAGCTTTGTGTGAGGGATATGTTTTTTGGCAAAGTGTCATGGAGTGGGTGTGGATATTAGGTCGTTGAACTGGTTGGGATGGACTTTGAATGGTTGGTTGTGAAGTGAGATCCACTACAAGTTGAAGACTAGTGGAGTGAGGTGTAGATGGGATCAAGCTTGGTGAGTTGGTAGCTACCGGAGGAGAGGAGTTTGTCTGTTGAAATGTATTAATAAAAATAAAAATAAAAAACTCCATGTTCAATGTATAGTGGCTAGCTAAGAAGCACAGATATTAAAAAATACTCAATATTAGTGTCGAGTAAATGTTGAATACGGATATGGCTAGGATTTGACTTAATACATATCCAACACTTGATGATAAATAAAATAAAATAAAAATAATAAATTTGATATGTGAAGGATACAACCAGAATACATCACATAAACATTCAAGATACTTGAGAAATACAACTATGATATTTATGGATTAAAATTTTAAATTCTTTTAATAAAACTTAGTTCAACTATTATTTTGATTTTTTTTATGATTTAAAATACTTAAATATTTAAGTAAATATAACCTAGCTTCAATACATTAATTTATTTCAACAACAATGCATGATCATAAAAATATGAGAAATGTTTTGAATAAAATTATTAAAAAGTTTCAATTTATTTTTTTTTTTGTATTTATATTTAAAAAAATATGATATTTTTATTTCTCAATTTTAAAATTATCTAACTTATCACAAATGAAAAATTAAAAGGGAAATACATAGTAATAATTAACTTAAAGAGAAGAAAAAAGAAATTATCACTAATCTTTTTCAAAAATGTCATAATAATTATCAAGATAATTCGATTTTTAAATATCCAAATCTAGTTTAATGTTAAAGAAATATAAATAACATGATGTTTATCCTTTTATTTTACAACTTCTTATATTCATGAATTCAATTTATTAAACATTATTATTGATTACGTTGTTTTTTTAGTGTTATATTTATTTATTTATAATTATGTATATAATATTTAAAAATTTTGACATATCCTAAATTTTCAAAATTATCATATCACCCGAACCATATCGAATCCCTGCCATGCTATTGAATTCCACGTGATTCCTACGCGTCATTAGAAAATTTGGGGCCATGGAATTTTATCTATACAAAAGACAACCCATGATTCCCGTTATAGGGATGAAACCGATGGTGCACAGGCTTTTTTAAGCCCATCAAACGAAAGACTTAACCCAACGATAGATAGCAACGGCCCAACCCACAAATTCTCACCATACCATATTATTGATTGGAATTCTGATATCGTGCTTTGGACAATTTTTTTCAGTTTGTGCATCTTTCATCATTTCAAAAACAAGAGGCAAAAATTAATTTATTGTAGAAAAAAGGGGGAAAAAAACAGGCAGAAGATTTAGTATTATTTTGAAGATGTCA